ATGTAAAGGTACAATTCCCAATGAGAAATGTAATTGTGTTGTATACCTACAATGTACCAATAAAAGAATTTAATACAAAAAAAAAATAAAGCAAGTAACTGTGATACAGTAAGTTTATATTCTGATACAAGCTCCTCATCTTGTTGTAGCTATAGTTCACGAACTGCCAGAACATACTGACTTACTGAGAAGTTTAAGAAAAATCTGACATCAATTTATAGAACAACTAGTTAATTTAAAAGTAGTTCCTGGAGCTAGGGGTGTAGCTAAGTAGCAGAGCATTTGTCTAGCATGTATTAAGGCCTTAGGTTAAGAGCCCCAGGAGTACTAAAAGAAGAGAGGAGAGGAGAGAAGAGGAAAGGAGAAAAAGTAGTCTCTTAAAGATGACACATTATGGGAAGCAGAAAAAGAGCAAATAGTGCCATGCTTAGTTTTTAAAAAATGTTCAACATTAGCTTTATAAAAAAATGTGGTTCAGTCAGTCTAATGGCATATATAGAAAGATATATATAAATTTCAACAATTAGAACTTTCATTTGGACTCATAAAATATTTGGACTCAGGTGATAGGTACCATAATGTGTACCCCAGCCGATTCCAAAAATTCTGCTTCACAATTTAACTTTGTAAAATACTGTTTTGTTTATTTGTTTAAAAATCAGGGTACTATGAATGTATTATTATTGCAATACAGACAATTTTAAAGTTGAACTGGTTAACTGAATTTAAATGGTATTCACAATGTCAGACGTTGTACTTTTATTAGAATGGATACCAAAAGTTTTCCTTTGATTCTATTAAGTAAATGAAAAAAATGAAAGCATTATTGAAATTAACTGACTTGCTATTTGAAGTATCTGATGGCATTAATATTATTTAACTGTGAGGTTAATATTCTGCCAACTGAGTGACCATGGTAATAGATATGGCTTTAAGCTTTTGTGTGTGTGTGTGTGTGTGTGTGTGTGTGTGTGTGTGTGGTATTGGGCTTTGAACCCAGAGGCTCTTGTACACTAAGGCAAGCGCTCTAGACCTGAGCTACATAACGTAGTTCTTTTAAATTTTTTACTTTAAGATGGTCTATTTGCCCAAATTGGACACAAACTCAAGATGGGATTACAGGGATGAGCCTCTACACCCCAGCTAGCTTTATGTTTTTATATAGACAAGAAAACTTGGATTAAAGATGAGTGAATTGATTTAGAAGAATTTAGAAAATGTAAATGGAAACTCAAACTTAAGAGTTATTATGAAAATGTACTTTCTGCCGTTGAACCTACAAAAATGTAACTTTTAGATAGTTTTCTTAACATATCACAACTTAGGGAATACATTTTCCCCACCTTGTTCCCCATCCCCTTCTCTTTTTTCTGAGATGAAGTGTTGCTGGACTGGGCTTGAACTCATGATCCTCTAGTCTCAGCCTCCTTAGGAACTATGATTACAGGCCACCAAGACCAGCAATAAGTGTTATCCTGGTTTTGTAAAAATTTTTGATTTGTTAGTACATGTCCGTAGTACATAATGTTCACATTCCTTGTGTGGAGTTTGTACGTGTACACAGCACATCCTAGCACCTTTTTTCATCTCCTTTCCCATCCCTCCCTCCTCCACCCATCTCTTGATCCACTTCCTTTTCTGGTACATGTGTGCAGTACATAATATTTTTAGTGATATCACTTCAACACTCATGGTAGACGGTAAACATTAACAGATGTTTTAAGCAAGTTACATATACAGTGATTTTTCCTAAGGGAAAGAAGATCGATATTTAATTTTCTATTAAAGATACACTTTCTTCTTTATTTCTTTAAAATGCAAAATACAAGGATTAGCAAACAATAAAATAAATAGTGGTAGATTTTTACCATGTAATCATAGGGGAAACCACTGCAGCAAGTCTTTATAGACTTTTCTCTGTAACGCTCTATGAAAACGCTGCTCAGCCTATATTTCTCAAACATATTGCATACAGATATAATCTGTAATTACTCACATTTTTCACTGTCTCAATCAACTACAAGTGATTACCAGGTCCAAGGGGGCTGGCTAAGGTAGAAGTATTGACTACCTTTCCCACCAGAACACAAGGCCAAGAGAAATCAGTTATCCCTTGTTCCTCATGTCTGCATATGTTTTATAAGTGAGTGCCCCGCAGCTGTCCTTGAATACATGTTAAATTAAATTGAGCCTTGAAAAGTCAGGAAAAAAAAAGAATTATTGCCAGTCTTCTTTTATATTTAATTGCATGCTAACGTGAGAATTTTGTTCACTGCATTTTCCTTCTGTACTATTAAGTGAGACCACAGTAGAAGCTGGAAGTAAAAAATGAAAGTTTATTAAAGCTATCCTGACAATGTAAATAATAATAGCTCATTATAAAATAAAAATCCTGAGAAAATGTTAAACATATCATAACCTGACAGACTTAGTTACTCTTATACAATGTCTAGCTATAGACATGTGAAGAGTTTTGAACTTTCTTTTTTGGTACTAGAATTTGAGCGTAGGCCTTGTTTATGCTAAGCATGTGCTGTACCACTGAGCTACACCCTACCTCATGAACTTTCTTGTAAGAGTAATGTGGTGTCATGAGTCATAGTAAGGAAATATGTTCAGATTTGCATTTTTCAAACTACTTCAGCTGGTGTGGAGGGAAAGAGATTGAAAGGAATAAAAGTATATGCAATATTGCTTTTGATATTCTTCAAACTTAACTCTCAAAGAAACACTTTTGCTTCTTATATATTTTCCCATTGGACACCATGAAAGTAGCAACCATTTTAAAAATAGCACCTAAAAAGCCCTTACAACCCCTCTGCATCTAAACAAGTTCAATATTTGTTGATTTAACAATGAATACATTTGGCAACATTTTGTAGTTTTGATATTCTGTTTAATTGAAATTATGAGTTTAAAAAAGCTATAATTTACTTTTTATGAAACATCTTCATAATTAATCTGAAAAAAGATTTTACTGCATCTCAGAAAAAAGGTAATTAAGTTTAAAAAACTTACTATCTCCTTTCAACAGGTTCAATGTCAAGGGTGTTAACTCCACTACTGTGGATTCTTTCAACATCTCTGTCTTTGTTTAATTCCAGTCCCAAAACCCTTTTAAAATTAAAAGAGAGAAAACAAAGATAAAGTTTGGCAATAAGAAAATAATTTAACATGAATAAATTCTTTACCAGGATAGCATATAGTATGAAAATCATAGGTAATGCTTAAAATTTCTACTACACATTTACAGGTATTTATAGATTTGTAAGGACTATACAACTTTAAAGATATTAAGTTATATGCATACTTTTTCACCTGAAGTATTATCTTAAATTTTATTTAAAGCATTTATTAAGTTTTAAAAAAGATATTTAGACTAAAACTTTTCAATTTAATTAAATTAACTGAGGACACCTAGTGGAGAAAGCTTAAATTACAGGATTTTTAAAAACTGCATTTTCTTAAATAGGTAGAATTAGAATTGTTTAATTCAACAATTAAGCATATTTAAATAAAATCATTTTATCTCTTTATCAGAGCTTTGATCCCAAGAGGGTAGGACTGAAATCCATTGCTTCTTATCTGTCTTTTCACTTCTGAGCTGAACCTGGAGCCAAACAAATGGAAATGTATGGCAGAATAGGGTAACCTTCTGACTAGACAACCAAAACAGGCAGTCCTAGAGAATTTGGAAATATCTGGGAAAGCACAGAGACGAAAGAGCTCAGGACAATGATCCCATGAAATTTTCTATAGCCTTCTGGACTCATTCCTGAGTAGACCATGTATGGATTTTATCCTGAATATCATACAAAAATTTTGAAAAAAGAATTAACCACCACCACTCAGGTCACAGTCTGAGTGGCACACACCTGGACAGATTTGAAAAGGCTTTAAAAACTGAACATATATATATATATAGGCATGCGGACCCCAATCTTGCCAATCACCTGTTAAAACAAAAATACTACTATTTTTCCTAAGATTGAAACAAGACCCAGAGTTTCATAGAAGAGTAATCAAAATGTCTAGAATGCAATCCAAAATTACTCTGCATATGAAAAAACCCATAAATTTATTTCAACTTGCACAGGAAAGGACAACCAATAGACGCCAAAAGCTGATCTGACAGAGGATTTGGTATTATCTAACAAAGACTTCAAGACAGCATTATAAAATGCATGAGCAAGAGATTGTGAACACACTTGCAACAAATGTTAAAATGGAAAGTCTTAGCAAGGAATGAAGAAATAAAAAAATAACTAGATGGAAATTTTAGAACTTTTCAACATAAAATCATTCTAATTTAATCAACTCAGTGTAGATTGGAGGTGACAGACAAACTTGAAGAGATACTAAATTTACACACTCTAACAACAAAAGAAAAAACAAAGATTGGGGGAGGAAGAGAACTGTGCTTGAGAGACCAGAGGAATAATTACAAAAAACTAACATTTATGACACTGGAGTTCCAGAAGGAGAGGAGAAAAAATTTGGCACCACGAAAATATTGGAAAAAATGGCTAATAATTTCTCAAGCTGTGAAAGACATAAAGTCGCAAATTGAAAAAGTAGAACTAATCCTAAGAAGGATAAACTCAGATAGGGGCCGGGGATTTAGCTCAGTGGTTTCACCGCCTGCTACGCAAGCGCAAAGACCCGAGTTTTGATCCCCAGTACCAAAAAAAAAAAAAAGGATAGACTCAGATAAATCCATGTCCAGATACATTATAATCAAACTGCTGAAAACTAAAGACAATATTTGAAAATGTCAGAGGAAAATGTGAAATTATCTATAGACAAAAAAAAATTTAGAATAACTTCAGATACCTTTTCAGAAAACATGAAACCATGAGATCTACTCTAAAAGAACTGATGACCAATGTTCTCTAGACAAAAGGGAAATGATGTAAGAAGGAAACGTGGGACATCAGGAATGAAGAGAAAGCAAAGAAAGCAACAGAAATGGTAAATGTAATAGACTGTTCTTCCTCTTAAAATGTTTGATGATTGAAAAGAAAAATTGTAACATTGCCTATAATGTATGTAAATATATAAGACAATAATATCCAGGCAGGGAAGTAAAGGGTGACAAAGTTTCTACATGGCAAATGAAGCAGTAAAATAAAGATTCTAAGCAGACAAATGAAAAGTTAAGGTTGTATTTTGTGATTGGTACAGCACCTACTAAATATATTCTTATATAAATATATATGTATATATTGAGATATAGTCAAAATCACAAGGCCAATTAAAATAGAGTACTAAATAATGTTCAAATAACAGACAAGAAAGCAGAAAAGGGGGAAAAAGGCATGGAACAAACAACTGACACACTCATCCCTGCCTGTGGGAGTATAAAATGCTTTTGGAAAGTTAGTAGTTCTTAAAAAATGAAACATATACTTAGTGTTCTACCCTTTCAGGTATTAACCTATGATAAATAAAAGCATATGTCCATACAAAGACTGGTGCATGAATCTTAATAACAGCTTTAAATGTAATAGCCAAAAACTATAAACTCAAATGTCCATCATCAAATGTATATGCAAACTGTATATCCATATAGTGGAATGCTCCTCAGCAATGGAAAGGAATTGACACATGGAACTTGGAAAAACTTCTAAATAATTATGCTTGGCACAGAGGTCAGATAAAAATGATTATATTCAAACAATATTTTGAATATGTCAACTAACCTAAATTAGAATCTCTGAGAATGGAACTCTGACATGAATATTTTTTCCAAATATTCCAGGTGAGCACAAAATTCTGACAAAGTTTTATATTTTTATAATTTCTTCCCATCTTTTATAATAATCATCTTAGCCATACCTCATTAAATAAGCATTGTGTTTGAAGCCATTTGTTTGGATTGAATATTTCATAAGTACTCTCATTTTTGTAAGAATAACAGTCTTTGTATTTATATTTCATCAGCTCACATGAAAATTAATAACAATAATAAGTGAAAATGGCATTAATGGGATTCGGGATAAATACTGACTTTTCATAACCCACAAAACAATTGGTGAAAGAAATGTTCATGAGATCACTACGGCATATGTTTGGTCATAAATGTTAAGTTTTACCTTGGGAATGTTTTATAGAGAAGTACTAAATAATATTGGTTATGGGTTAACCTAGTGATTTGGTTAAGAGATCTCTCATTGTTTTTATTTCTTTTAATGAAGTAAGAGGTTTAGGTCAGAGAATTTTGACAAAGACCTATACTTAGTTACTTCCTCTGTGCAAGGTCCTTTTAGAATTATAAGTCCCAATTTTTAAGATACTCAGTGGCTCATGTATTTAAATGATTACTGATATTATAAATATTATAACGTTATAAATTATTACTGGTATTAATACTACAGAAAAAAAGTAATGTTGCTTTTTTAAAGAAAAGCTCTTTTCACTAAAACTAAAGATGAAGCAATAGGCAAGTTCATTTGTTTTTCACCATTTACTTTGCTGATCATAATGAAAGAATTTCAGAACTACTTGGTGTGAACAAGTCATATTATCAGAGGAGAGAGACAAATTTTGATACATATAAATTTTGCTTGAGTTCTTACAGTCAATGAAATAAAAATCTGAATGTGTGTGTGCTGTAACTAATAGATGACTGAGTTGAAAAAAAATTACTGTCATCTCTACAATAACTGGGATTAGGGAGAGATCAGTAGCAGTTGCAGTGCCAATCAGGTTTAAAAACCAAACTGGTTTAAAAAAAAAGATGTAATGTTAAGTTGTTTATTAAAACTATACTAATATTTTGGACGTATTTATCATCCTAAGGAAGTTACATTATATATAAAGATAATAAAACATTTTAGTACGCAAAACGTTACATACATAGTTGCTTGTTGAAAACCACTAAATGATTATTATCTATTAAGATAATGTATTGTTTTTCTCAGTTGTGATAAGGAGCTTAGAAAATGGCTTCCAATGGTCTCTAACTCCTGGTATTCATGACCTTAAGTAGTTTTCTCTCCTTAAGTGTGAGCCAGACCTACTGACTCACTTCTGATGAGTAGAATATGACAAAAGTGATGAAATGTCATTTCTGAGATTAGGTTACGAAGAGTTTGGCTTCTATCTTGTATTCATTTGCTTTGATGAAAGCCAGCTGTCTTGCTGTGCTCTGCCTGATGGAGAAGTCCATGTGGCAAGAAACAGAGGAATACCTCCAGACAAAGGATGCTGAAGAACTAAATCTGTTTACAATGACTTTAGTAAGCTTGGAAGTGGATGTTCCCCCAGTCAAGTCTTGAGCTGACGACAATCCCATCCAATATCTTGATGGTACCCTTGTAAGACACACTGAGCCAGAAAGAGGACCCAGTTAGGAGACATACAGATTACTGACATTTTGAGCCTGTGAAACTATAAATCTCTCAACTGACTTAAACTGCCTAAATTGTGCTACTTATTTACCCAGATATTGATAACTAATACATAGTTTAGTTCTTCCTTTGGGATATTAGAATGACTCATATCCATCAGTTTGTCAATAAGTAAAATGTACTCTTTGTTTTTCTCCCTATCAATTTAAATTTCTTGAAGAAGTCATTAATGTTAGAAGTCTCCACTTCCTTTACTCTGTTATTCTTCATCTTACTATAATCTTATTTTTATTCTCATCATTCCTCTGACTTCGCTCTTTCCAAAGCCATTAGTGATTATTGTGCCATTTACATGCAATGTAAACTTTTAGTTCTTACTTAATTCTTTTTTTTTTTTTGGTACCAGGGATAGAACTTGGGACCTTGCACTTGCGAGGCAGGCGCCAGAACTGAGCTAAATCCCTGGCCCAGTTCTTACTTAATTCTTCATATTTATTGAATGTATGTCATTCATATAACATTTAGATCTCTTTTTTTCTGACGGGCCAAGAATATAATACAGTCATAAGAAAATATATAATACAATTTTAATAGTAATATATTGCATGAAATAAAGTAAAGCAGAGTAATGGGATAGAGAACTACTGAGAGCAAAGAAGACGTTACAGGGCAGAATCTGATACACTTGATAATTCCTGTTGCAAACACTGGCTTCTCTCAGCACCCATGACACCTCATCTCCCTGGTTTTCCTTCTACCTTTCAGGTTACTGATGTCAGTCACCTGCAGGTTCTTCTTCTGCCTAATATCCCTCTCCCAGTGCCCCAGCTCCAACCTAGGCCTTTGCTTAAGGTAGGCAAACACTCTACCTTTGAGCTACATCCCTAGCTTCTTCGGCCTAACTTTAACTATTCAAATTTCTCAGATGTTTGGTATTGAACTACTTCTCTTACTCTTACTGATATGCGAGGGTGATCTTATCTCCTCTTCATGACTTCATGTATCTTACTCTGAAAAAAATCGAAATTTCCCCTGAGCATAGAATTCATACATGCAACTACTTTATGTCTTCCACTCTCCAAATGAGTTATCTTCACAAGTTCCTCAAAATCAGTACGATCAAAATTAAAGCTAAAACTTGCTTCCCCTTTGGAAATTCTTATCCCAGAATATGTACCCCCAATTCAACTTCCTATCGAAGGCACTTATCTAGGAATTACTACTGATTCTTCCTTTTTCATCATTCACGCTTCTAATCAATTTCCATGGCTGTTTTTATTTCTTAGACATTTTTCAAATCTTTTCATTTTCTTTATCCCATCTGTCACCTCCCTACCTTAGGCTTCCATCAACTCTCTCCTGGTCAATTGCAAATTATCTAACTTGGTTCTAATTTATTGTCTAAGGAGAAGGCAAAAACCAATAGTTGTACCTTACTCTTAGGCTCTTCATCCAGCTTCTCCCTACTTTAGCTTCATTTCCTGCCAATGGCCCCCGGCCTCAACTCTATGCTCTAGCAATTGTTCTAGATTCTAATTAGCCTGCTACAGGAAGAGATTTCTTTACCTCCGTGTGGACTCTGCTCTCCGGAAGCGACGAGGGTCCTCCAAACCTGCTTGTCGCGCGGACAAAAAGCCCAGCATCGCTTTTCCTTACACCTTCTTGATCACTGGCCGCAGCCATGACAGCTGTGGAGGCGGGACTGTAACAACAGAGTCTCCTATTGGCCAAGCGTTATTCGATGTGACCAATAGGAAGTGCCATTACTTGGTAGGCGCGAGGATGTAGGCGGGCTGTTCGCGGTGGACAGAGTCGGCGGCTGGAGAGTCCCTCCTCGAACTGCAGCGGCTGAACTACGACTCACGCTGGAAACCGAGGGGCCAGCATGGGTTGGTCTCAGGGTTTGTTCCGCGCCTTGTACAGAATGCTGTCGAAGGAGGTGAAGGAGCACGTAGGCACAGACCACCTTGGGAACAAATACTACTATATCCCGCAGTACACGAACTGGAGAGGTGAGATGAGAGCGGGGGCAGCGGTTGCGTGATTAGTAAATGAAGTAAAGTGAGAGCGTCTCGCCCACCGACGCACCGTGCGACCCCTCCTAGGGTGTCACGGAGGGCAGATCCCCAGTTCGTCTGCTCCACCCGCCCCCTTCACTCTGGACTCGGAGTCCAGGCCGGCCTGGCTCTGTCGCTTTCCTGGGACAGTTCTGGCCCGGCGCCGGCCGCGAGTGTCCGCGTTCTTGCCCTTCCTGGAGCGCTCGGGCGGCCGGTGCAAGCTGAGTCCGCCCTTCCTACCCCAGGCGGGGGCTTAATGGTGGACCTTAGGCGATGTAGCCGGGGAAGACTTGGAGATCTTTTACCAGAGAGGCGCTCGAGAGGGGCGAGAAAGTGGCTTCCGTGGGCCTGTGTCCTGCTTGTGGTCAGGGCTGAGTGGTGTCGTTGAAAAGGTGTATCTTTAGCTCCTCTGCTTATTTCTTAGTGTTTACCTTCTTCACTGGCACGTGGCTCCGGCGCTGTAACCCCACGGTTCCTTCACCACCTCAAAACCAAAATCTGTCACAAGTACCATGCACACCGATCGCTTCTGATCCTCCCCGTTTCCTTTGCTAGGAAATTGCATTCCCCGACACCACAGGGTAAGGAACATGGCTCTAATCGAGGTATTCCTGTTCAAGGTTCGTGCCAATTAGTGAAACAGGTTGTTGGGGGGAGTTAAGAGATGTTTTTGACCTTTAAATCACACCAGGTAGCCGCCTTCTATGTTGTTCCATCACCGCGATGCAGATCTCAGGCTTTGAATGAAGAAAGTAGTTGGGTAAGAATCTTAGTTCTTACACCTAAGAAGCTGAGGGCTGACGGACGAATTGTCCTCCTCGTATCTCAATATCTTACTCGAAAGTTAGTGATTTTGTCATACCAGTAATCTCGAAAAGCACTGAGATCTTTCCAAAATTGTGTTCCATCTGTTTCCTTCATACAGAAACTGTATTGTGATTTTTTTCAAATGTGTTTTGCGTGGCCTTTTTCTACAACTTATTTTAGTATTTAAGACTTGTTTCTCTAATGAGCTTTTAAACTATTGGTGCAGGGAATATGCTGATTTCTGTCCCCAGGCAACCACTAATCTGATTTCTGACACTATTATTAGTTTGCATTTTCTGGAATTTTATTTAAATGAAAGTATATAATATGCCTTTGCCCCTCTCTCAACTCATCCTGCATAGTCATTTTGAGATTTATCCATGTGTTTGAGTAGACCAAAGTTTATTCTGATATTTTTATTGTTGATATTCCAGTGTATAGATATTTTGTTTTTCCATATACCTGTTCATAGATATTTGGATCATTACCAAACTTTAAAAGTCAGTTTTACTGTATTTTATTTGAAAATAAAATTTAAAAAATGACTTACAAATAACAAAAATAACACTAAAGAAAACAATGAGATAACCCTATGCAATGGCCAAGATGGCTAACATTAAAGATGAGTGACCATACCAAGTGTGGATGAGGATATGGAACAACTGAAACTCTCAGGCATTGCTGATGGGAATGTAAAATAGTACCATTACTTACTTGGGCTATTACAAAGAAATTATCAACATCCATGTATATGTCTTTATATAGACATACTTTCATTTCTCTTGATTAAATATCTAGACATAGCATGGCTGGGTCAACTTGTAGCTGGATGTTTTACTTTTTAAGAAACTACCAAAATGATACTATTTTCATCCCATTCCTTTTTCTCTCCCTTCCTGTTTTCCTTCCTTCCTTCCTTTCTTCCAACAGGTTCTCGCTGTTGCCCAGGCTGACCTCACACTTGGGATCCTCTTGCCTCAGCCTCCCATGTAATTGATTTTTAAAATATTGATAATATATCCTGTAACCTGCTTTACTTACTAATGAGGTGGCCTTTTGCAGACTTGGACATTCTGTGCAGGTAATTATGTCAACTACTGATAAAGACAATTTTGATTTTTTTTTGTGTGGGTATTAAATGTTTTATTTAAAGGTTTTTAACATGAAAAAGAAGGTACAGAAATAGGGATTACATTATGATAACCAAGGCAGTATTCTACATGACCAAAATAAAAACAAAACAAATTTATAAAGTGAATGTACCGGCACCGCACAAGGTTCTTGAAATGTAATTCAGGCTGCATATGTATAAAATGATTTGACCATAGGCTTATGCAAAATAAATTATTTCCTAGAACACCAAAATGCCAACCATTCTGACTATAAACTGTCTTATTCCCTTGGTGAGTATTTTGAGAGAACTTCTGTATAGTATGAAAAGAACTGGCATGACACTTAAAGACTGAACAAAATTAGAACACAGTTAAAAACGTATTTGTAATCCAATTCTGCATAAAATATACACAGTAAATTTTTTTCTTTTTGTTACCGAGGATCAAACTCAGGACCTTGCACCTTCAAGGCAGTCAGTGGAACTACTGAGCTAAATCCCCAGCCCCACAGTAAATCTTATTACTTAAAAATTTTAAGGCCGGGGATTTAGCTCAGTGGTTTCACTGCCTGCTGCATAAGCGCAAGGACCCGAGTTCAATCCTGATACCAAAAAAAAAAAATTTAAAAACAAAAAACTACCCTGAATAAAAGTTAAAACCTCATCAAAGAAAAATGCTCATCATTTGTATATCATTGGTAGAACACTGATAAGATTTTGTTGAGGGAATAAGGACGATATCTAACAAAGTCAACTCATTGAAAATTTGTTCAAAAAATGTTCATAAGGTTGTAAATTCTTGCTTATGCCATCTTAAAATATTATACCATGAATACACTTTCTACTATTTAATCAGAGGACAAAAGAATAATTTGAAGAAAGTGTTTCTCAAAATAAGGTCCAAAGGCCCAAAAGAATTCTAATGTGTGTCAGTAATAAATATTTTAAACAGACTCCCTCTGTGACTATTCTACATTCTAAAATGCCCTGTGGGAAAGAGCAACAAAGTATGGCAGAATTCTCTATAAGTTTATGTTGTGAATACTGCTTTTTGTTTTAAAACAAGTTCCAGGCATTAAGAGAAATATACACCTCTCAAAATAACATGTGAATGTATATAAACATTTTCCTTTGATGTTTTCTTTACTTTCAAACTTAATTATTTGAAGAAAAGATAATATATGACTATAAGCTTGGAAAAGTTATATTTCTAATGAAATGAGGCATCCAGAAAAAGATAATTTATTAAATGCCTACAAATTTTAAATAATTCTAAATTTAAAACTAGGTAGCTTACCTAAAATTAAACTTTATTAAGATTGTACCATAGTAACTTATTCAGATGATGACGGTTACTTTTGAAAGTCCTTTGCATAAAAAATGGCACTAAAACAGAGGAATGCTATATCTGGCAAGTCTTTAAATAATGACTTGCTAACCACTAATTTTAATAAAAATAGTTTGAAGAACTCTGCCCCTGTAATGAATTCTACTGTGTATTTCATGTGTTATCCTACTAAACTAAATGAAATAGAACTATAATATATTGTTTTCTGTAGATTTATTAAAAATTGTTATTGTTATTTGGATTTCCCTGAATGCTATATAAACTGGGGCCCAAAAGTACAGGATGTGGTTTGGAGAGAAACAAGCATAGTTAAGGCATTTTACTTAAAAGGCAAATTGTTTTCCTGTATCATAAATAAAAAGAAAAATATTTTACATTCTATCTCCACTCAACAAATGGAATGTGCTTACGAGTTTGGTTAACAAGCAATTGCCTCATCATTATTTAAGTCAAATCATAAACAGCAACTCTATCAACAAAAAACAATTTAGTATTCTCTATCATAGACTATACAAATCAAGTATTACATCTAAATATAACTACAAAAAAATTAAAATTAGCTTCCAAACAATTATGAAATGGTTAATTGAATTCAGACTGATAACAAGTTTTTCCATGAATTAATGCCAACATAAGCAGAATGCATAGTTGAAAAATGAGGATCAGGCCCATTCTTCTTCATACATCGAAAGACGATTGGTATTAACAAAACCTGCAAACTCCATCAGTCTTCTTCACAGTGTCCTTATCATTTGGAGTGAGCTGGACAGGTTCATTAGTAAACTGAGGATCAAAGTTATCCAAACTGAATTCTCCAGAAATACTTAGTTTAAAGGGAGGAGGCACCACCTGCCTTTGCTTCATCAGGACCCAATCAGTATTTTGAAAGAATGGATGCTCCTGAATATCAGCAAATCCTGTTTGAGGATGACAACCCAATTGTTCCTTTGGGTCCTTGTTCAGAAAAGAAAACTCTCCAGGACACTTGCAGCTTCTACAGATAGACAATGTGGTATGTGAATTTTTCTTTCTAAGATAACTTCCAAGAGATAATCAATTGAGTTTTGATCAGAGTTATCAGAGCTCTCAACAATATGAAATGGAGACTCTCTGACCATCATCTCAAACATCATCACTCCAGGAGTCTACTAGTCCACAATGAAATCATAGTCTTCTTTTCTTGTAATTTCTGGAGCAAGGTAATTAGGAGTACCATAGAAGGTGCTGGTCATATCTCCTAGCTGTAGTCCTTCCTTACACATACAATAGTGAGTTTAATGTGCCCTTCTGAGTCCAGTAATAGATTTTCCAATTTCAAGTTTCTATAAAATATCCCTTGCTCATGAAGATAAATGCTGAACTGATTTCTGCAGAGTAAAACCTGGCGTGTTGTTTGGGAAGTATCCTTTGTTGCTGCATTTGAAGCATTAGATCTCCATTACATAGTGTAGAAAAAAAATCAGTCTGCTTTCTGTCTGAAAGAAAGAGTATAGTCCAACAAGAAAAGGATGAATAGATGCCTGCTCCAAAATATGCTTCTCTGTCTGTACCCAATCAATGTTGATAAGCTCTTTTTTTTATAACTTTCATTGCATAAATACAATCTGTTTTTTCTTTTAATTGAACCAACAATACTTTTGCATAACTTCCTCTCCCTATCACCCGGAATAAGTTGAAGTCCTAAAGACC